CCAGGAGGCGGAGGTTGCGGTGAGCCGAGATCGCGCCATTGCACTCCAGCCTGGGTAACAAGAGCGAAACTCCGTCTCAAAAAAAATAAATAAATAAAATAAAATAAAATAAAATAAAATATTTTCTTCCCGATAGGAATTCCCTGAAGAGAAGCCAGATGTTATCTTTCAGTGTAATTTCTTACCCTGTAGTCTAGGAAATTATTTGTTAACAGTAAAGTAAAAAATGTTTATTTAACATAAGGAAATTGAATTAGCAGGTGAATAGTATTTACCAGGGCCTTGCATGTGCATATTGGGAGTGATTGTCTTCTGATTGACTGTGGTAACAGTCTCTTTTGTTTTTGTTTTGTTTGTTTGTTTGTTTTTTTGAGACTGAGTCTTGCTCTTTTGCCCAGGCTGGAGTGCAGTGGTGCAGTCTCTGCTCATTGCAACCTCCATCTCTTGGGTTCAAGCAATTCTCCTGCCTCAGCCTCTCGAGTAGCTGAAACTACAGGCATGCACCACCATGCCTGGCTAATTTTTGTATTTTTAGTAGAGACAGTGTTTCACCATGTTGAACAGGCTCGTCTCGAACTCTTGACCTTAGGTGATCTGCCCACCTCAGCCTGCCAAAGTGTTGGGATTACAGGCTTGAGCCACCACGTCCAGCCATGATATTCTCTTAATCTTAAATAATTCAATAGATCTAAAATTGCTTTCTATGGCAAGAAGTAGTGAAAGTGTATTCTTTTGTTTATTTTTAATGGAGGAACTATTAATTTCTCTCAAATTAATAGAAAATCATTGGGGGTCTATGAAGTAATTTGCTTTTTTGTTTTGTTTTCTGTTTTTTTAAATGCCTAGACAATACAGAAAAACATTGAAATAGTTTTTTCTTCCACTATTTCTGTAGCTACTTTCATTTTTCTTGTTTCAGAAGTCAGCTTCTGTGGTCCACCCTTGCCACTCAATATTCTGTTAAGTTTGAATCTGTGCTGTGCCTGTAATACCCTGTAATGTGTTTGTGGTGTTTGTTATTCCTTAAGATATAAGCAGTAACTGCACTTGAAACACATTCGTTCTCCGTATTTCTGTCATTAAACTTAGGTCAGAGTCCTAACTTTTGCAGTTACTATTGAGATTGTCTTCCTCCTTTTTAGCCAAAGCACTAGAGGAACCCAAAACCTGTGTTGGAGGAGATCCACGTCCATAAAATCTTTTATGGTTTAGGGTTCCCTTTGTTACCTGCAGCTGCTTAATGAAGTAAAAAGCTGCTCATCTTAGAGCACTACCCAATGATTTGTGCACATATTGGAGAAAAAGCTGACAGCAAGCTGTACCCTGCCCAGTAGGAAATGAACCTTTGAGTGACTTTTCCGCTACAGGATTTTTAGCTCCTACTGTTGCCTCCAGGTTCTAGTACTCCTGCCCCTCTCTCAAGAGAGCAGGGTCTATATCATGGCCGTTCAGAAAGATGCTTGGTTTTCAGTTTGTGTCATGTCTCTTTGGCCCAAGATACTAGCTTAGCACAGTGCACCTCAGAGTTAGAGCAAATAGTTCATTATTTTGGACAATTCAGAAAATAACTATTAAAATCTTTGTTAAAAAATTCTTCAACCACTATGTAACTCAGTGTTACTACTGTGAGGTCAAACTTGCTGCTGTAGACATTTTAGGTTGGGTAGGGGACTTCTGAGAGATTCTTAGGATATAAAGTTTGAGACAGTGGTTCTTGCTTTTCTTCCTTTTCATAATAATTATTAATACATCTTTCATGGGGAAAATAACACATGCTGAAGTAGTCTGCTATGTCTTCTTATTTCTTGAGCTTTTCTGTCTTTATTGCCTACAAATTAGCCTTTCAGAAATTTGGTTGTTGGCTGGGCATGGTGGCTCACACCTGTGATCCCAACACTTTGGGAGGCTGAAGTGGGTGGATCATGAGGTCAAGAGGTTGAGGCCATCCTGGCCAACACGGTGAAAACTCATCTCTAGTAAAAATACAAAAATTAGCTGGGTGTGGTGGTGGGTGCCTGTAATCCCAGCTACTCAGGAGGTTGAGGCAGGAGAATCGCTTGAACCTGGGAGGTGGAGATTGCATTGAGCTGAGATAGCTCCACTGCACTTCAGCCTGGGTGCCAGAGTGCAGTATTATCTCAATAAAAATTTAAAAATAAATAAATTAAATAAAGTGGCACTTCTCCATCAGATGAAGCCCTCCTTGTGCCAGAAGCTGCCCTGGAGTTTTTCCAAACTTGTATATGTCTCTCTTATTGTTTATTGTCATTAGTGAGCCATGAATATAGGTAGAAAGAAATATGTTTGTCAACCAGGCACGGTGGCTCATGTCTGTAATCCCAGCACTTTGAGAGGCTGAGGCGGGTGGATCATGAGGTCAGGAGTTTGAGACCATCATGGCTAACATGTGAAACCATGTCTTTACTAAAAATACCAAAAATTAGTCAGACATGGTGGCACGTGCCTGTAGTCTCAGCTACTTGGGAGGCTGGGTAAGGAGAATCGCTTGTACCTGGGAGGCGGAGGTTGCAGTGAGCCGAGATTGTGTCATTGCATTCCAGCCGGGGCAACAGAGCAAGACTCCATTTAAAAAAAAAAAATATATATATATATATATATATATATACACATATATGTATATATATATATAGATATAGACACACACACATATATACACATACGTATATATATATATATATATATATATACACACACATATACGTGTATATATATATATATATATGTTTGTCCCCTCAGATTTGCTAGGAGAGAAAATTGGTCAAGAACAACTGAGCTAAAAGATTAATCGGTAATTTGTTTATAAAATCAGAGACGTGGCCGGGTGTGGTGGCTCACGCCTATAATCATAGCAATTTGGTAGGCACAGGCGGGCGGATTGCCTGAGCACAAGAGTTCAAGACCTGCCTAGGCAACACAGTGAAACCGTCTCTACTAAAATCCGAAAAAAAAAAACAAACAAACAAAATAGTCGGGCATGGAGTCCCGCTCTGTCGCCTAGGCTGGAGTTAAGTGGTGCGATCTCAGCTCACTGCAACCTTCGCCTCCCGAGTTCAAGTGATTCTCCTGCCTCAGCTTCCTGAGTAGCTGGGACTACAAGTGTCTACAAC